TGACAGCAGGAATTAGTCCAAAAACCTTGAAATAAAGCTGCTTTGTGCAGTTTCTGAGTTCTGATTTGTACTCCTTTATCCCCACCCTTTAATATAAATTGCTTACATTTGCCTCACACTCAGACTATTAGTATGTACTTTCAACTTCACCCTCATTTTAACTGTTATCAAATTTGCCATAAACCAAAAAGCCAGAATTAACTTAATAACCACAAAATCAACTTCCTTCTCCAAGACCTATACGAAAGAAAGACACAGAAGGGAATTGAGGGAGAACCTACAACAGTAAACCCAGAAAAAGATATCAGTTTGTCTGCTCCTAAGCAACAGGAGGGTCACTGCAGCTGGCAAGCTGGTATTTCTGAGACTATCACATCCATAGATTTTAAGCAAAGCTCTAGGTACAGCTACCCTCAGTCTCCTCTAAGAAAGCTGTTACTAAACCTCACTTCATCCAGTTTCTTGATAAGAAATGAGGAAACCCCTTGGTGCTCAGACACCCATATCTTCTATCCCTGAAGAAAGAGGAATATTCCTAAATAAAGAGGTCATGACCAAAGCATCACCTCCTCTGACCTGCTGGCTATGTCCTTGCACCTCAGTACAAGGTTCACCATGCTGATTCATGTCCAGTTCAACTGCCAGCATCCTCCTCTCTTCTGCAGTGCTACTGCCTAGCCAGCCTGTATACCACTTCTTGCCATGAGGATGCTATCCTGGAAGATCAGTGAGCTATTCTGGGCTCCTTACGACATTAGGAAAACCTCCCACAAGATCTTGCTTCCAGAATCCCCCAGAACTAGCATCCTGTTCTACTCAAGTCCATCTAGAGTCTCCATTCTGCTACTTGCCTTCTTTACTTTCCCCAAGACTTTAAACTCTTACTGTTTCAAGGCTGTCACTGAAACCCCTGACCAGTTCTTCACTCACAAACAGCAGGTCCAGCACCGTGATTGCCTGGTCAGTGTGCCTAGCACTTGTGTCAGAAAATCATCCCCAGCACACCTAGAAGTATGGCTTGCTTGTGATCTGCCATATTACCTTCCAGTAGAAGTTGTGATAGTCTCCCATAAGAACCTGGCCCTCTTGTATCCCACGCTGCATGTGTCTGTGTAAAGAGACGTAAGCTGGGCCCATAATCATCCTGTTTCTGCAAGGAGACTTCAAGGCCTTTCATCACAACACCCTGTGCTCCCCTGCTCCCTCATTTATCTGCAGGCTGTGGGCTCCGTACCCCAACAAAGCTCATCTGAAGGCTTCCTTATCAGCTTACCCTAGATATCATTGTTCCACTTCTCCAAGGACAGTCAAAATATTCTGAACCAATTCCTTGTTCTTTGATACTACATGACTTTGTTTCATTGGAGAATGTACTAAAAGGTTTAAAATGGTACATCATTTTAGAAGTCATTTAAACTGAAACAAAATAATAGTCCTATCATTTCCTTGTCAGGATTTACCTCATTTACTGCACACATCCGGGCAATAGACCCAATGTTATTGGTGATGGTGACCAGTATGGCTCTTGCAAGATCTTCTTTGCTAACAGACTCCCTCTTCTCTTTGTAGATCATATTCCCAAAACTAGAACAGGAAAAATTTCTATTAAACACAAAGTGATTCATGTGCATTTGTGCAGAGTATAATTTTTATGCTACACCAGAACTTAAACCTCATGTTTGTTCTTAAGTAGCTCCTTTTTTAAGCCTGTATTAAATACAGCAATCTGACAAATGACACTACAACATGGGTGTTTATTCCTTCACAGGAAACAGTTAACCTTCTTATAACAATGACCCCTGACAAAATACGTCTGTTTACAATGTTTGACTTCCATGAAGAACCATCTACAGCAAAGGTAGTCTTATTCTTAGGCAAGACTACTCTGCAAATCTAGTTCCTGTAAATTAAATCAATGTCTAAGTCTGACTGGTGAAAGCTCCCAGCTCCTCATGCTTGCTTCCTCACTCACAGTATTTATCCAGTATTTATTGATGGAACAGCAAACCTCAAACAGAAAACAAAACAGCTGACAGACTGCAATTTAGGTTGCATAAATGAAGAGTTCTGGATCAGAAGGGCATTTTCATTACTATACTTAGTAAATCATTTCTTGCAAATAGTAATAATGACAAGACAAGAATCTGCAGCTATGCCTGGCATTTTACCACTAAGGACTGTGCCATATCTAAGTCAGTTCAGAGAACTGGAATTCAGATTATTCTAAAACTCAAAAAGTCATTAAAGATCTTAAGAGTCTTAAAAAGTAAACGAGAACAACAAGTACCTATATACAGAGCGAGTTAAGATGTACTGACTAAAAGTGACCTCTTATCATATGCTCTCTCAACAGGCCTGGATTCAGCTGGCTGGAGAGGCAGAATTAAGTTACTGTGAATTAAGACCTCTTATGACTGAATAAAAGCAAAGATTTAATGAACTCTCTAATGCATATATTAATTTCACTCCCAAAGTTTATTCTTCTATTTCTTAAGGGTAGAGAAGCTGTAACAGCACCAATAACCTTCCCCCATGGAAATAAATCTTGAGTGGTCAGCAACTGTATTGTGCATCACTTGTTTTGTATGTTCTAATTCTTTTACCATTACTTTTATTTTCCCTTCTGTTTCTGTTCTATAAACCTCAACCCACTTCCCTCCCAATTCTGCCCCCATCCTGCAGTGAGCAAGGGGCTGTGTATTGTTTAGCTCCCTGACGGTGATCACCTCATATTCTGACTCGTGTGAAGCTGTATATGACATACCATGTGAGGTTTCTTCAGTACCTAGCTAGCAGGTTGCACGTGGCTTTAAATCTTCCGGAAAACTGAGGATACATACATTTAGGATGAAAATGTAGCTTAACTACAAAAGAGGTTTGCAAAAAGCTATTTTCTTTGTATTAATAGTTTAAGTCTTGGTTTTGAAGCCTCCCCCAGACTAGCAAAAGAAGCAACAAAAAGGTCTTTTGCTTACCTGGATGCTACAGCCCATCCTGGCAAGCCAAATCTTTCATAGTCTCCTCCATAAATATCTCGAACCAGCTTGTCAGCGTGTGTGCTGTCTCCTTTGGAGGCCATTTCCAGAGCTTCTTCAAAACTTTCACAGCCAGTCAACAAACTGCACAGACCAAGAAAGGTCCCTCCACCTAGACTGAGAAGAAAAACAAGTTACTTTTAAATAGCATTTCCAATTTGATACGAGGAAGTAACTTCATATCAAAGAGGAAATACTATTTGCACCCAACTAACAAAACAAATAAAGCCCTCCAACTTAGATACCAAGCTTTCTGCTTTCTTGCTCAAGGTTCACCACATGAACAGGTCTCAATCAATTTAACATTTATGTAATTTAGTTACAAGAAGCTATAAGAGCTAACAAATAGTCATAAACTCAATCTGTAAGCTGGAAGACTTTATCAGAGATAAACTCCCTAAATACCAACATCATGCCACTGACTGATCCTTGATCATTAACTGTAAAACATGCGTGGACATATTGATTCTTATGGAGCAAGAGAAAAACAGGTTCACTGGGTACGTTACCACAACTTGGGACAAAACCTGTAAAGCTCTCACTACAGAGCATGTCCAGCACTCATCATTTGATAGATACTTGCCAAATCTCTTCAATAACAGAACTATGGGAATGGGCTTCTGGGCTTCAATGAATGCAGCTGTAAACTGAAGATAAAATACTCTTCCACACGACAGAGTGAGAGAAGTGTGGGGAGTCAGGGACAGAAACCACTTAGAAAACAGAAGGCTGATCCATAGAGTAACAACTCCAGCTTAGGTTTTTGAGTTACCTTGTTCCAGTTACTCTCTTATAGTTGTCTTTGGAATGGACTGATAAAATACTGACTCCTGAACCAATGTTAACAACCAGCAATGGGTATGGATCATCCAGATTAAAAGGCATCTTTTGGCATCTCTCAGGATCTGAGGCATTTTCAAAATAATAGCACTCTGCCTGGCCATTGAAGCTGACAGAGTCTATATACAATAAGCCTTTCACAAGGCAGTCAAGCTCGTCCAGTTTGTGCAGCTGGAGGTTTCCAATCTGTGGTAAAGAGAAAAGAGACAGTGTCAACATGTTCTAACATTGCTTAAACATGCTACAAATTTGTGAGTGTATTTGTACTGCCTAACTGTTCAGGAGCTGTTCAGGAGCTTCAATCCCACTATAAAGCCAAAAAAGAACTGAGGGGTGAATTCTGAATACATCAGTTAGCAAATAACTCTGATTATAAATCTAGATCTGAGACTCGAATCAAGGACAAGCAGAGTAAGTATCTGCTTTAGTAAGTCCAGAGATCACTTTTGAGATACTCTGACATCAACCCATTGAAAAATTCACAACATTTTTCATCAATCTAAGTAAAAAATCAGTCACCAAACACCTGAGAGGCCCCATCAAGAGTCATCTTAGTGAAACTCACACATCTGCACATCTTTTCAAGGTTTCCTTAGATGTCAGACACTCATTTCCAAGATGTCAGCAAATAAAACTTAATGGCATCATACTAAATATCCCTGCAACTTCACTAAGACTCCAAGGATTGTAAGAAAACCACAGGGCAGAAATTCTACGGGACTTCAGGCTCATTGTGGTTCCTCCTCAGTTTTGCACATGATATTTAAGCTGCTGATCTCTCATAGAGCATAAAGACAATTTTACAGGTGCTGTGGACTCCAGGAAGGCTGTAATTTCACATGATACTTAAACCAGTTGGACTCTGAGCTTTCACAGAGTGCTCACGTTTTCTCCCTTACTGCAGCAGGGAGTTCCAAAAGTTAAGAGTGTAATTAGGCAGCTAATCTAAGGAGAAACACCCAGTCTCTCTGCGAATCAGATGAGCTCACATCTAGAGAGCAGCCCACAATTAGATTGGGAAGTTGCACAATCAGATTGGACTGCACACTGCTGACTGACATCAGTACCAGGTCACAGCACTGTCAGTCCCTGCCTCATTCCCAGGGCCCTTCAGCTCTTCTTGCCATGACACAACCAAGAAGCCTCACTGCTGAGCACATCAGGGAACATGAAATATTTCTGTGGGGTTTTATAATGAATTAGTTCTTCTGTACAAATCGTGACCCTACCCACGAACAGTTGTACCAGCTCAATGCAAGACTGGCACAGGAACAGAAATAGCAGCAGATTTTTTTGAATCCAAACATTTTGTGCTACTGAGTCATTTTGTCTCTAAAAGCACGAGTTCTGCAGCCACTTTAAAACCAAGACATGGGCACACTGGATACTGTGGTCTCAGTCACAACTATCTCTGCCTAGAAACTGCATCTAACCAAATGATCAGTTATGATCATCAAGGGAAATCAAATCACCTCAGAAAATCTCAAACCACTCTGCAGTTGTAAAAAGGCGTTTTATCACAGATCTCTAAACACTGCCCTGGACTAAATTAATGAGGATAATCCCACCCACAAACACTGAAAACCTATCAGCAAAGACTGGTTAGGAAAGAAAACCCACAGTGAGCTGAGCACCTCAGCAGTCTAAGCCCACTTCCCATCAGAAAAATAAGTTAACTTCCAGAGTGTCCCGCATTTCACTGCATTCACGGAAGTTTCTAACAAGTTGTTAGCATTAGATCTTCATGTTTATTATGGTCAGAAAGCATATTTCTAGATTATCATACTTCAGACTGAAAAACAAATGAGCAATTAATAATATTTGAGCATTCCACAGTTTTTCAGCATACTGCTTATTTTAACCACAGCAGTGCTTTCAGCAGCAGCTTCAGGATGAGGAAGGACAGGCTACCTACTGTGCGAAAGTCTTCCTCAAACTTGTAAGCACCACCGCCAGTGGCACACAGCACCGTGTGTAGTGTGGAAAAGTTCTTACTTCTTCCCATTTGGATAAAAGTAGGCAAATCTTGGGTTGGGAATCGAATAAAGTGCAAGTTTCCTCTTCGAGCAAAAATCGTTAAGTCTTTCAGCTCAAGATGGACATCTCGGATGCCAGTGGATCCATAGGCTACGTTGGAAGTCAGGTATTTGCGGATGCTCTTCAAGCTTTCAACTTCCTCCTGCTCCTCCTCTGCAGTGATATCAATAGGTTCAAAATATGCAAGTTTCACCAAAGTTCCTCCAATGTCCATGCCAAACCATGGGAAAGCTGTGAAGATACAAGAATGTGTCAATTAGCTCTCCTAAAAAGCAAAAGCACCTAACTTAAGGCTAAACCAATGCTATACTTTTCAACAAGGAAGACATTAACAATGAACCTCCACAGGAACAGAGAATTAGTTCCATTTCCACTACATGACTGAAATACCCTCTGGCTTTCCGTAAAAATGGAAGAATAAGCAACAATCTGTACTCACTGAAATGCTGTCACATATGCTCAGAAAGCCCAACTAAAATCTCCCCCAAGTACCCCGTATCTTTCATACCAACAGGGAACAAAGGATTCCAATAACCTTCACTCCTCAAATAAGTTTTGACACAGTTTAGCACAAAGACTACAATGCACACTGGAGAGAAATCAGGTTACACATAGCTGGGAGCACATAGAAAATTAGGATTACTGAATGTAGGGTCCATTTCCCTTTTTTTGCAGCTTGGATAGGAAGGGAAAACTTCTGTATTACAAACCAACACAAAACCACAAGTATTTTGTCACTTTTGTGGGATGACTGCAGTTCCTAACAGGGATTATATGGTTTATGTCATCTAGGACCATGATTTGAATATGCCTGCATCAATAAATCTTCCTACTGTGTGTGCTGAAACAGAGACTCAGACACCATCTTCATCTGAGAGTTTCTTCAATGTCAGCTTCCACGTTTAAAACTGAATTTGTGAGTTTAAGCAAGATCCTGAACACCCACCCGGGAAGCTTGTGTTTTTATTTCCTAACTGCTGCTATAACTTGCTGGGTTGCTTGGGGGTTTGGCTGGTTGGGTTTTATATCCCGCAGAGTTCAAATTTATTTTTTCATATGCAATTCATATACTATAGAAGCTTGAAGCTCAGGAACAAAATCAGAAAGATATTAACATGGTCATCATGAAAAAGATGTAACTACGTTGGATTTACATTACCAGTGGGACCCATCCTTGAGAAGAATGGCCTACCAAAATACTTTAACATGTTGAGTCACAGCTGGCTGTATTCATTTACAACAGGAGTACAAAAGTTAAAAAGAATAGAAACTTAGAGGTTGCCTCAACTTTCAGGAATGGATGTCCAGGGAATGTCGTCAGCTATTAAGAAGAAAAACTGACTCAGTAACCTTACTCATCTTGAGAACCTAAACTGAAACACAAGGATAAATTCTGTGAGTAAAATCTAGCTCCAGGTGGGAACAAGAAGGTTTTATAAACCTGATATGTGTTCTATAAAGCTGAGATCTGAGCATTAGACTAAGAGTAAAGTCACACATGAATTAACAGCAGCAAACCCTCTGCACTGGGACTCCGCCCATCAGCACATCTGTCGTCTCATTGTCTGACCACAACTAACATGATTTATGAAGCCATCGCACTAAGTTTCAGCCCCTTGTCACACGCAATGTCACAAGACCAAAATGGAAGAAGAGAAGCTGATTCATCCAGCAGAACAGAAAGTGTCTGTAGGAGTCAATCAGAATCTAACTAGGACACAGCAAGGCAAGTATTACCTAAAATACTTGGGATTCTTCCTGCTCAGTGGGCATACTGAGTAACTAGGATCTAGTCTTCCACAACAAGGAGGAAGGAAAAAGCATCCGATCTGGATGCAAGAGGAATGGAGAAAACAGGAACCCATGTGTAAACAACAGTTCCTCTTCCAGCTACTGAAAGTGATTTCATTTGCAGGGTTAAAATAAGGCCGCTGACAGATTCAGGACAGAGAACTACTCAGAAAACATATAACTGGGAGCACGTCCGAGTCTCCTATAAGACTTCCCCTCCAGAGCACAGGCAGGCTCAGCATCGCAATGGCTGAAGATGACACATCTGCTTTAAGTCATGCTATACATCCAAGGAACCGGTGCCTCACTTTACACCACATATATAAGCACACTGTGTGTAGAATCATATAATGGTTACAGTTGGAAAGGACCTCAAGATCACCTAGTTCTATTCTGCTCTGGTCTCATGAAACCTCACTTGCAGCACTGGCTGCATTTCTGGTGTCCCCAGCATAAGAAGGACATGGAGCTGTTGGAGCAAGTCCAGAGGAGGCCACAAGGATGATCAAGGGACTGGAGCACCTCCTGCATGAAGACAGGCTGAGAACATTGGGGCTGTTCAGCCTGGAGAAGAGAAGCTGCGTGGAGACCTCAAAGCAGCTTCCAGTGTCTGAAGGGGGCTACAAGGATGCTGGAGAGGGACCTTCATCAGGGACTGCAGTGATAGGACAACGAGTGATGGGTTCAAACTGAAACAGGGGAAGTTCAAGTTAGATCTAAGGAAGAAGTTCTTCCCTATGAGGGTGCTGAGGCACTGGCACAGGGTGCCCAGAGAAGTGGTGAATGCTCCATCCCTGGCAGTATTCAAGGCCAGGTTGGACAGAGCGTTGGGTGAAATGGTATAGGGTGAGGCATCCCTGCCCATGGCAGGGGGGTTGTGCTTCAGATGATGTTGCTACTCTTTGGGGCATGTTCAAAGCACAAGAGTTTTCACTCTTACACGTGGCATCTGCGGCATATATACAGCATCTGTAGCTGGTAGAGTCTCTCGAATCCATGAAAAAATTAACTCTGAGGCAGTCTTGTATTTGAAAGCTGTCTTCAAATAGCATGGAGAGTACCTTGGGCTGAGAATATCTAAATGATTCTACTAAAAGTATTTTTACTCTGTAACTGTGGGTCATGCTTCTCTGAGAGATTCAGGAGCAGAATGACAGCAGCATAACCATTTGGAAAAAATATCATGACTTCAGCTTGATCCTTACGGCAGTTCCAGCTAAAGAAACATGCCTGTATGAGACCAAAACCAATTGCACAACCTTTGTGTCAAGCTTATAGCTCTGCAGGTACCAGGTCTGAGGACTTGTGCAACTGTAACCATCATTCCACAGCTTCAGTTCATAAGGAGAGTCAATGCACCTGCATTAAACTGGGGCCTTCCTGGAGCTCCACAGGGATTTGGTCATTAACAGGTTTTTCTCAGGTCTTCCTCTTCTTGTTATTCCTAGGAATAACACACTACACCAGGTGATGTACAGCTCAGAAGTATTCCTCGGTGGGAATTTAATTGCTATTCACAGAACAAATGAAATGCCCTGTCTTTCCAAAGCTCAGCTCCTCTCTGCAGAGGTCAGCTGCAATTTGAAAGGAGGAGAAGGAGGAATTGAGCTTTTTACTCAACAAACCCAACTACCTTGGCTAGACTACATAAAACTGCTGCAAAAACATGCTTTATGCTTTTAGGAAGTCAAGCCAGCCTCTCTTTCAGGATACATAAAATGACTGAGAAGAGACAAACATGCAAAGTAGAACACAAACTGAGGATTCAAAACCCATATGGTTAGTGTGATACGTCACAGCACATCAAACCGTCTCCAACAGGAAAGCAAAGCAAGTATCACAATATCCAACCTCCTTAATTCCAAATTCAGTTTTTCCTTCACTCCCCAGCTCTGCCAGGACCCACTGTGGTCCCTAAGTAGTCACAGCAACCAGGAACCTTTGCTACAAAGTGATGGATTGTTCTGTACATGCCCTGAAGACAACTTAGAGAGGCAACCTGCTCAGAGGTAAAAAAATAAGGATGTTTACAAGGATTCCCTAGAACTGCTTCCTTTCTGCATGGAAGAGTGCTGTGGTCATGTAGCACGTCTGCCTAGGAAGAAACCCCATCCTGATGGCTCTTGGTTGTTGTTAAAATTACTCCTTACAGCTACACAGGGAAGTCTTCTTCTCTTGTGTTTGCACTTCTCAAGTTCTTAGCGTACATAGTTTCTGGCAGCAACCTTAAGGCCACTTTTATCTTATCATACAAGGTCTTTCTATGCCAAAAGGAAACAATTACAGTAAAAAGTCTTTCTCGTGACAATATAAGCACAAAGGTTGAAGTGTTTTTCTTTTCTGTGGGTTCTGCTTCAGCAGAGCAGAGGACCTTTGACCAGACCAAATATGAGTATTTTGACTTTGGTTGCCCAAGTGAGTTGTGAACGCTCCAGCCCTGACGGTGTTCAAGGTCAGGTTGGGCAGAGCCTTGGGAGACATAGTTTAGTGCGAGGTGTTCCTGCTCATGGCAGGGGGGTTGGAACCAGATGATCTTAAGGTCCTTTCCAACCCAAACCATTCAATGATTCTATGACTTTGTACACCCATTTGGATCCAAGGCTGCCTGAAGTACACACTCAGACTTAACTACTTCCCTTTTTCAGTCAAGCATAAGATTCTTCCTTTTAACACTATTTGTATTTAGCTTTTAAAAACTGAGAAACAGTTTATAGTGAACTCTTTCCTATGAATGTAACCACACATTTGAAACACAAACACCTTTAAAATACTTTGTCCTGCGTTCTGATTGGATGATCGGAGGGAAGTCAGGATCAGTTGCTGGTGACCTTAAGATATCTAGTTGGTGGGCTATAAAAGTGCCCAGTATATAAACTGGGGGGAGGTACCCGGAAGGCCAGATCGCTGATTGGGTCGGGCTGGGTATCGGTTGGTGGTGAGCAATTGTATCCTCTCCCCTTGTTATTCCTCTTACCATTATTATTAGTGGTAGCAGTGTGGTTTTGTATTATACCTTAGTTACTGGACTGTTTTATCTCAACCCGTGGGAGTTACATTCCTCCGATTCTCCTCCCCATCCCTCTGGGCGTGGGAGGAGGAAGAAGAGGCGGGGGGTGAGCCAGCAGCTGCGTGGTTCTGAGTTACTGGCTGGGCTTAAACCACGACATACCTCCTTCTCACTGCAAGATAATGTAACAGTCTGGGTCAACTCTGCATTAGATTATCAGGAGCCAACCTTTGAAGAATAGTAACTGATTCCTAATTCAAGCAGGGAGCTTTGCAACATAAAAGAAAGTACATCTCAGAGCTGTCAGTAACAGCAGAGAACAGGCTACCCAGCTCTGTACCATCCTTGTAAGAAAGCTTGCGTATTATTAAGATTCAAGACTGTTGCACTTGAAGTACAAACACAGCTTGGGAACAACTGCCAAA